AAAGTATTCTTCCAAACACAAAAGTGCGACTGTGATAAATTTCAAGTCATTCATATGTCTTGTTCACATGTCATAGTCGCATGAGCACATGTTCACTTGAATCACATGTCTTTCCTTTTTTCGATTTATAAATTACAAAATATTTTTAATGTGTATAATACTTTATTCAAATTATTGTGTGACAAAAATGAATAGCCATAATATAACAGAGATGAATAGTATCATGATTCAAAAATGCGAAGAAATCCCAAAAGTTGTCCTAAATCCACTTGCATAAACATAGAGATGGATCGCAAAGAAAAGAGTTAATAAAAAAAAGTCATTATTGTAGAACTATTGGACATTCAAGAACAAAATGTACACAACTTCAAAAATTATGATCTATTTTTTTTTTAATTTTATGTTTGAATAATTAAAAAATAAAAAATCATTATATTTTTGTTATTTATAATATTTAAATTTACTTTATCCTTTAAATTTAATTTATGCTTTACATATATTTTTTTTATTACATTATACTTTATTTATTAAAATATCACACATTAATAAAGTTGCACAAAATTAACTTTTATAATAACCATAAAAAATTTATCTAAATAAAAAAATTATATATTTTTTTATATATATTTTAAAGTATATTATTCATTTAAATAATCTAATTGCTATAATAATTTATTTTATTTTAATTTACCCGGCTTTTCAATGTACCACAGTGATGAATAATGTGGGGAGAGAGACATTTTGAACATTATTAACTTTGATCTTCTTGTTCTTTATTATCGAAGAGATGATGAAGAAAGAGAAAAAGATAGTACACTAGTTTGAAACCATGGTCATTAATTTATTTTTTAAATACATTTGTTATAAATTAGTTATTTCACTTATAAATTAAAAATTAAAATATTGAAATTTCTATCAAGTTACCCTCCATTAAATTTTTTAATAATATATTTGGCAAGAGATATAAATGATGTTGGTGGAGAGTTGATTTTCTTGTTCTTTGTTACAAAGAGATGATGAAGGAAGAGGAAAAGGTAGGGCATTAGTTTGAAATCTTGGTCACTAATTCAATTTTTAAACACATTTATTATAAATTAATTATTTCACTTATAAATTAAAAATTAATATATCTAACGATCGATACAAATGCCATGCGTGAAGCACCTCATCTGCTACTTCACGTTAAACTTTTTCTATTTTCATTCCAAAATCATTTTCATAAAATACACTTTCTATTTATATTTATATATATA